GGGGGGGGGGGGGGGGGGGGGGGGGGGGGGGGTGGTGTTCTCCGTCTCTGCAGCCAATGCTATGTGCGTTACACATAATTTATTAATATGCATACGTGAGTATGTGAAAAACACGACATGATGAAAATGTTTGAGATTTGTGCCGTAAATGTTAACCACAAAACAAGGTCTGAACCAAATTATAAATAAACGACGATGTAAAAAATAGTAAGAACAAATAAAAACAGATCTAAATAAACTGTGTACTTTTACATCAATTCAATGAATGCGAAGTAACAGCCAGCTAAAATTAGGGTTTACAAATGAATTATTATTGTTACCTTATGATCGTAATCAGAGGCGAGGGCAGGATGGAGAAGCAGGAGTATGCCGAAGAATGCGATGAGAGAGAAGGATGATCGGACGGTGGACCGCATCTTTGTGGAGAATCGCCGTCGAGAATTTAGATCTACCGGCAGAGACAGAGTCGGGTCGTTTTATATATAGTGCTGCATTTTTGGATTGGGTTCTCCCATATGTCAACCGACACCCTGTAGAGCCTTTGCAGCGGTCCACGAATTTTTTATTGGATGCGACTACTCTTTTGTGATGGGTATACATCGATGTATAAATAGTAAAAAAAAAAAATTAAATTTGATATTAGCAGTCAACAAAACAATTTGTTACATGACCTCTTGGCTATTTTTTCAGGAAAAAAAATAGGGATATGAAAAAAAAAAAAGAGAGAGAGAGAGAGAAGAAAAAATTTGTTACACAACCACTAAGCTAGTTTTTTCAATAGGTCGCATAACATAAGTTTCAAAATGTCCACGATTTGGATCAAATTTGCATTGAGAAACGATTCGTAAGTGGACAATAAATATGGATGGCAATTTGAACCAATAAACCGAGCCCCGCTAAGCATCGTCACGACTGTCACGAGGAATCTCCGATTCGATTGTCTAGTTATTTATAAAAATTCAAAATTTATTTAAATTCACCTTTGCCCAATTTTTTATGTCAAAACCCGAATCAATTATCCTATCTCATTAATCCAATTCTCAAAATACCCTAATATAAACGGGCATTAAATGGAGCAATAGATTTTCCCGCCCACCTTAATCGGGGATCGAGTAAAATCCCCGACGAGGTGAGGATGAGGCAGCCCATCCCCATTCGTTTCATTGACATCCCTAAGTACAAAGATTATGATAGTGGATGACATGAACTCTAAACTTTGTAGAATAAAATAGTTAGATAGATTAAGAATTTATTATACGAGTATTAAAAAAAAAAAATTGATTTCAAAGCCTTGTAATGGAGATGCTATCTTCTAGTTTAAATTTTTGCACATGGCCATCTCCATCCATGTCATTTTTCTTGTGTGTATCTTGTAATTTATTATCTATATGTCTGGGTGCTTGTCAAGCCCCCACCTACTCACCCATGGTGTAGATGTCTATTGTTTAACAATTACGTAAATTCCAATAATGTAATTCGTGTTATATATTGTAAGTGTCTTGAAATAATTTTTATTTTGTATGGGAGCTAAGGATTGTTATTTATAGCACCCGGCTTATATGTAAAGGTGTTTTTTTAAACTCAAATGAGGTTAATTATATATCATTCAAATTGTCTCCAAAATATAATTACTGCCCTACACGAGTCTTTCAAAATGCCTTCTTCTTTTTCTTATTCTACAATGTTTGAATGTGTCCCTACGCATAGAGTGAGTGGTAAGACCAATTTCTATGAAAGAACATATCCCTAAGTGGTTACCCTTGGAGGTTATGTCGTACGTATGGCGGATCAACATATAGAGTTTAGCATAAGATCAACTTCTCATGTTCTATAAACTATGGAGACTGTGATTCCCCTTGTTTACATGGACTATACGCCATAATTAGTAATTATACATATTGTCTTCTTGAAAATTGGATTTCCTTTTGTATTAGTCCTTGTGTTTCTATTGTGTTGAACTAAGGGAAACATAATTTCCTCTCAGCTTAAGCACAATACATAAAGAGATTTGTCTATAATCATCGTATACGAGATTGACAACCAAGTGACTTTTATGTTTACTCGTTGGCACATCATTCACATGTTAAAAGCATAAAAATCAACTTACTTAGTGCATGTCTGCTTGCGATTATTGAAGCCAACAAATTGATTTTTGAACTGTTAAAACGCAAATTCAGCCTCCAAAGTTGACTCCCACTCTCACATGTGGGCCCTGCAGTTGAAAATAACGGTCAATTTGTTGATTAAAATCTGCTGAAAATTGTTGGTAGACACACCCTTATATACAAAATAAGGTAGGATGTTGATACAAGCACGACATTACTTCCTATTGCAACTTGATGTCTCCATATTATTAGATCAAACGAAACCTTTTGAACCATCTTCTTCTATTCAAAATGAATACGATGTCAACTTTTTCAGACAATAAGTGAATGTACTTTCTTTAACTGGTATTTCATATCGATTCAGTTCCTTTTAGAACCTATACCAAAATTTACACTAGACATTACTATCAATAAAGTTTTGAAAATTACAAATTTAAACAATCAGCCTTTCTAGCTGAATAAAAAAGGGCATTGATGTTCATTCTTGTTAGTGGCGTAGGTGAATGTTAGTAAAATAAAAGGGACTTATTTGCACAGGTGGTCCCCAACCTATGGTCTTGTTGTGGATTGAGGACTTGCCATTCTATTTTGGAAGGTGAGGTCCTTCTATGAACCTTTTAGCGTGAATAGTCCTTTCCTTTAGATCCTGATAGCTTTTTGTGTTAAAAGGTCAATTTTTTAATCAAAACCCCTATATCCATAATTTCAATTTTAATAGTAAGACAAATAAGAGACAACTTTGAGATTGTTTGGGAGAATTTTTTTTCAAAATGAAAAATGATTATTTTTAAAAAATGTCTAATTAAAAAGTAGTTAAAGGTGATGGTCCTATGGAATGTATGATTTTGAGAAAAAACTAGTTTTCAAAAAATCTTCTCAAACAAACTCTTTTGTCCCTATTTGATTTTGCTAAAATTAGATTTTTAATAAATTTTAATAAAAATTGATTCAATATGTGGTTGAAAAGTAGTAGTAAAAATTAATTATTAAACTTAACTTAAATTTTGATCAATTTTTAATCTGAACCGGGAAGGGGATAGATGTTCCTTGTTGTTAGTTTCAAATAGGGGTGGACAAAAGGAACATACTAAACCAAAATCGAATCAAATCGAGTGGTTCGATTCGATTTTACAAAAAATAAATGATTTTGGTTTTTAAAACCAAGAACCATTTGATTTTGGTTTTTGTTTTGATTATGGTTCCAGTTCTAAAACTTGAATCAGAATCAAGAGCCAAACTCAATATTTATTTATTTTTTTAAATAAATATATATATTTTTACAAATAAGTAAATTGCACCAAAAAAATCGATTTTTGTCAGTGACTCATTCGTCTGTATTAGTGAATCATTATTATTAGACAATAATTTATATGGGGATGAAACTTGATGTTTGTACGAAATTGATCTCCTAACCACTGGTGTTTAGTTTATGCTACGTATCAGATGGCATGGCACATTACAATAGGTAGTGTAATTAGTTTCATAACCAATCATTATCTTTCACCACCTATTGTAGTGTGTCTGTCGCGCGAGTGCTTAGCATAACCGATACTTAGGAGATCAGTCATGGATGTTTGTGTATTCATATTACGACTATGTTTTTTTTTAGTTTAGACCTTTGTGAATTAATTTTATGACACAATATTTCATTTGATAATTGATGATTTGAAGTTAAATTTGCTGAATATTTGACGTTTATTTTTTTATTTAAGCATATGTTACTAACTTATGGATATAGACTTATAGTGATAGATTTCAAATTGCATTCATCCTTTGAAATTCTAATTAATAGAACTAGAACCAAATCAAACTAGAACTGAATGGTTCAGTTTCGCTTTGGTTTCACACACATATATATATTTAAACCATTTGTTCAATTATCAAAAAAAAAAAAATTTAAATCATTGATTATCATAATCAACCATGTCCATTCCTAGTGGCAAAGGCGAGTGTCAGTTAAACAAAGGACTTATTTGCACAAATGGTCCTCAACCTATGGTCTTGTCGTGTATTGTGAACATGCCGTTTCATTTTTTCAAGTGAGGTCCTTATATGAACCTTTTACTTTGTGAATAATTCTCTCCATTAGATTCTGTTCTTTTAGTCTTAAAATGTCAATTTTTTAATCAAAATACTAATATACACTTAATTTCGGTTTTAATAATAGAAAATAAACTATGACAAAAAACATAGAGAACTTTGAGATTGTTCGGGAGAGATTTTTGATAATGAAAAATGTTGACGTTGAAAAATGTATAGACAATATTCAAGCCAATTTAGGGAATAAACACGAAATTGATTGATTTTTTATCAACGAGTTACAAGATTGTTACACAATCATCCTCTTTTTCCTATTACAAGAGATATTTGAAATATGAAGAGAATGAGGTGTGTTTTTTTTTTCTCATCCCCTCCCCTTTTCCTTTTATTGTAGGGTAATGCATGTACAATGTACCTCCTATCATGTCAACCTACAATATCGAGCTAAATAAGTACATATATGCGTAATAGGATTGGTTGCCGAGTTCGGCTCTGTCTGTTGATCATGAGTTACTGGTGCAGGTGGTCCCCAGCAATTAATGCATTACTTAGGAAGGGAAGCTAAGATTTCTGATTGGAGGATAATGTGGGCGTTGACGTAAGACCTTTTCATGTGTATCCTCCTGATGAGTAGCCCGTATATCGTGTCATAGATTCTTAATCATTATTCATCATTTCACCTTGAAGGACTACACAAGCTTCTTGAGTAAGCTACTCAAGACCCGAACTGACCTCGTATATCCGAGCTCACATTATTATTCCCTTACTGGGTGCACCAATCCGAACTAAGTGACCTTCGAGATCAGTGTCAACAAACTTTATTTTCAATAACAAGAACTATATCAACCAACAATTCAGCATTCCATAGTTTGATTGTAGGAGTGAAACAAAATAAACATAATGGCCAACATATTGCTATTTTTAGTCAGACGATAGCATCCATTGTTCTAGCAATTAGGTTAAAAATCTATTACTTCAAAAAACAGTATACTTCTGAATTTTTAGTATTTGTCATTGCAGAGTGAAAGGACAAAACATTACACAAAACAAAATCATGAATAAAGTCACTATGCATACTCTGGTAAATCTAAACACATAGCCATTGATGAAACGGAAATTCAAATAAGCAACAGGGTGCCAAAGGAGGTTCAATAATATTGTCAAACAAAACCATTGCTATATCGGTGAGTGATTCCGTGAGGGCATTTATCTAAAACAATCAAAATCAAGCAACAACTCACCGATACCTGATTAGAAAAAACTATGAGTTT